TTCTGCTTATAAGCCCACCTGGTTCTATGCTCTCCTCCTCCTCTACCTGTTATCAGCCAAGGCCAAAGGCCCAAGTTTAAAACACTCACCAAGGCCTTGATTATTACAGATTTAGATAGCACAAAAACTTGTAATAAATAAGCAGTGAATAAACTTGTAATATATATGTTGCAGTTAATTTTTATCTCAGATAATTTTTGCTTTTCTTTTGTTTTTGGTTATGGTAATGTATGCTAATGAAGCTGAAACAAAGGAAAAATAAAAGTTACCTGAGATAAAAAATTAACTACAACAAATACATTATTTTGAAGTCACACAGACTGGTAAGTCATGCAATGTACATGCAACCTAAAGGGTTCCCAAAAATAACTGTACACTCTTAGCCAATACGTAGGTAGATAGTGAGCACAATGTATAATAATAGTGCAGAATAATAAAAATTATTGCAAGGACTGACCTCCCCATGCTTTCTTCGAAGAGCCTGCAAAAAAATTAAAATAATGAGATTTTAGTAACTGATCAATGGCATATAAAAGTAAAAGGATTGAAATTACGATTCTGTTAACAGCAAGGTCTCCACTGATCAGACTATGAAACTGTATCTGTTTTTAGTCTTTTAGAACAACTGGTTCCCATTCTAGCCTACTCAGATTCCTTGTGAGGGACCCCAATGCAATAGGTTTTGCAGGATCTGGGATTTAACTCATTTCAAGGTTGGGTTTCAGGATATTGAAGAAAAAGGAGAGCAGGATCCAGGAAAAGAAATACAAACTGGGTACCAGATTTGGTTATGTTATGATGTTGGTTTCAGGATATCTTGTTTATACACATAGGATGAAACCTAGTAAGCAAAGTGATCTGAGGTTTCTCAAATGTCAGGAAAAACTCTAAGTTGAAGACCACTTACGTGTAACATAAATTACCATAACTATCCAAATTTTCTTGACCCTGTCACATACAAAATTGTTAACTATTTTCCTCTCTGACTATCTGCCATGGGTCTCTTATTTGAGGGAATCTGGATAATTTGCAAGGCACTTTTAAAGGGCAGTCAGGATGACAGGGTGGGCAGAAAATCTTGGTTGGGATGTCCAGATTGAATAACCTCATTATGGACCCTCCTTTTTTGGAAAAAAACATCAACTGTCTTGCCAAGACTGAATTTCAGTTTGAGTCACCTGCAGTTGAAAACAAAAAATATGCATACGCATTCAGCTAGTGTGTACCTCAGAACAGACTTTTGCAGTTCCTGGGGGAGGGGGTGTGTCCCATTATTGCACAACTCTCCATGGATCTGACTTCACATTGAAAACCAAAATATCATTTGATATCATTACCTTATCTTGTAATATTTGAAGAGTAACTGTGTATTCCCTCGGTAGTATGTGATTCATGCAAGCTAGTCCTTGACCTAGCTTGATGTAAAGACCTCCATTGTCTACTGCACCAATGACAAGTCTCTCGGCTGCTCTCTTGTGACAAAGTTTGATGACTTGGGCATACTGTTCTCCATTCTACAGAAAGCCATGAAGGTAATGTATCACGTTAGGTGGACATAGAGATAAAAATTAATTTTTAAAAAAATTGTAATTTGTTTACCCACAAATTAAAGCACTTGCATGTAGGAGTTCAAACAGGTCCATGCATTCCAGATTGAATTAGAATTTGGAAATGTTGGTTTTTGAGGAGTGGGGAAAGCCAGAGTACCAAGAGAAAAATCTCGTGAAGCATAGGAGAGAACCAACAAACCTCAACCCACACATGGTGTCAATGCCAGGATTTGATCCCAGGTCACTCACATTGCTGGGAGGTGAGAGCTCTTACCAATGCACCACTCTTGCTCCCCGGAAGATTAGTTAGCTCTAATCCTGGGTTATTAACTGCAGACAGAGCACATCCTTTTATGCCCCAAGATCCACATATAAATACTCCAGAGTGATCTCCATACATTTCCTTAAAGAATTATCAGTAGTTAAGAGCGTCTGAGAGTATTATTTTCTTCTCTGGTGGTCATCTTATCAATTCTTGTATACTTTTTTTCTTGATTGTACTTCACTAAGTATCTGGCATGCACACTTAAATGTACAAGCACTAAATAAATATTATTAGTATCATTATCATTATATTGTTTTCATTATTATAATACTATTATTATTGATATTGTTCCGAAAGGATTGACATTGGTTGCTTTTGAGACGTAAAAGCATACGAGTTGCCATGGTAATTAACCTTTGTAGCTACACAGGTTACCTTGGTTCTCTCCTTTTGAGTAGAAAAAGGCATTAGAGGCTACATTAATGACTATGTATACTGCAGGGGAAGCAGGCGACTGTGGATATCTCACACTGCACATTGATTTTCATATCCCACCCAACCCACAAAGCCCTTTTTATGGCACCCTCCTCCAGTCCAAAAGAAAAAATTACACCTCTGCCCCCTGATTAGGAACATTTAACCAGAGACGATAAATCACAGGCAACAAAGGATGATAGATGAGAGACATATGGTGGTATACTGAAGAGGTTAGACACTAAATCAACTAAGGATTATATTGCTGTTATAACCCATTAAATCTTAGACAGTCATCTAACTGTAATCCTGCATTAAGAAAGGCATTACTAAAAGGTTATTTAATAGGTACATGCAAGTCACAGATTTCCCTCAAAGATCAAGCAATACCAGCATCTATCATGTTGAATGTTAAAGAAATAATATTATAATTTTTAACATATGTTGATCAAATCAATACTGTAATATAACATCAATATTAATAATTCTGTAGTGTTTTTTTACTCACAGGATCCAAACCTTGCAGGGTCCACCAGTAGTCTAAGGATATTTTCATTCCAATATAAAAACACCTGATAAAGAAAAAATATTTTGGGTCCATAACAGTATAACACCTGAGAGACCTTGTTTATTAATGTTTTGTACACAGACATGAGCAATTTTGAAAAAGAATAAGAAGAGGAGAATTCTCTTCACAAGGAAAAACGTCTTACATGCTAGTGAGGACTGCTGTGAAACAAGCATAAGCAGAAAGTGTGAGAAGAATGCAAAGCTTTGACATTCTTATGTTTATCCTTATGCTTTTGTCAGGATGTCCTCACTAGCACATATTAGCTTCTTACTACATGCTCATGCTTGTACTTGCCTCTCTAGTGAGGACCATGTTATTTTTAACTCTTATGCTTGTGACGCTGGTGAAAACCAGGCTTAAAATTAAGTAATGAACTAATCAATACCATAGAAATGAAAATTTTCATGCCAACACTTCAAAGAGAGGGGCCTCTCTGCATTTCTGGTGGAGATGTGCTTCTAGGAGCTTGAAACCTGTATCCTATACAACACCATGTTCAACTTCAATCTTGCCATCCTATTCTAGACTAGGCACCAAAATCCCTACCCAATCCCAGACCTACCACCAACCAGAAACTCTGATCTCCATACCACTGACAAATTGACATTGATGCATAATACCCTTCTCGGGTCCCTGTAGACCAAATACTGCTGATTTCTCTACTATGTACCAGTTGCAACTGCTTGTAAACCTGACTTTTCACAGCGGCACATATTTTTTTAGCTCATATAAGTAAGTGCTCCCCGCCCCCACCCCAACCTCCAACTTGGAGGCCTTTCTAAAAAAGGTCCCAAGGTGTCAAAATCGAAAGGTATGTAAGCTTTCCATGAAGCCCTATGCATTTAACATGTATGTAGCAACTTAAGATGGAATCGATCAGGAAATTGAGTAATTTCAACTTTCATTGGACAAAAACCTTGTACCAGAATAATTTAAACAATACTGCATTCTTTTTTACATTTTTCAAGGGCTATAGATATAATTTATTATCTGTAATAACACCAAAGACTATTTCTCATGGGAACCTGAGAAATTATTTACACTGCAAATCGAGTATTCAACTGCCCCCAGTACATGAATCCCCGCTAACTCGAACTTTTTTCATTTCCCTTCAGAGTTCGAGTTACTGGGGTTCTACTGTATAAGTATGTTGAAACATGTATGCAAAATTAATTCATGGGGCTGTGCAGATAGCTGTCAATAGGCCAGTTCCGAGTTCCAAAAACCCTCACTTTCAAAATGAGGCAAGGTGCACAACCTTTCTTGTGAAAATGACTTTTATTTGCATGAGAATGAAAAATGATTTCCATATCAAAGACTGAGCACCTAGCCTCATTTTGAAACAGAGGCTCGGGGGAACTATGGGGGGGGGGGGGCTTTTNCCAGAGTTAGCTCAGATGAATTTTGCTACCCTATACTAGAGAAAACTCCCCAAATCCCCCTTATCCTAGCGTAGCTGTTTTCCAGAAACTACTGAGGTCACTAGCACGGTAGTCTAGCCAAAACAAACCTTATACCACAATCCCTAGTCTAGATAAAATCTTCAACCAACTGATCAGTTTCCTGAAAAATGATACCCTATTCTAGACCCAAACGCTCTGATTTATATACCCTATCCTAGAGTAAACTGCTTGAAAACAATACCCTTCACAGCGGCACATACCTATATCGCCCATATATGGCAGTACCCCCTCCCCCCACCCAGGCTACTTCCCCAGGCACACATCATTTTACGGATTTTGCAGGTGGAGAAAGGACTTCGAAAGTTATACATATTGACCTGAAAAAACGTCCAATTCCTTCAATCTGAACTCGAAGTTTTCTACGTTGTTTTCGTTCCCATAGTCTGTTATGAGCGGCAAGGCCCGCAGTACCACTACCCACTAAAAGCCAAAAAAGCCATCTTTGATATCTTCCTCTTTTTGCAGTGTGTTTCGAAGTCTCTGAACTGGCCAATCGCAGCTGATATCTTCCACAGTTGAGCGCTAAGTTAGTCACAGAACGACACCAGCAGGATGACCCCGCCGCCATATTTTATCTTCTTTTTGATTTGGACAATTCATGTCTCATACATAACAAGTCACACAATTAAAAAGTACGAGAGGAGTCTGGTAAACTGGTTCTCAGTCTCTCCGAGGCAATCGACTGGAATCAAGATGGCGGCCACTGCCGGAATGAATGCACGCGGCTGGCCAAGAAATCGGGCTCCAAGTAACGCTGGAAAGTACATGACAGGACAGCAAGGAACACAGATTGATCGCACTGTGCGACTGTAAGTTTTCATGCCAGGAAATACTCTTTTTGTTTAATCTTACATCGCTTTTATGCGTTTGGTTTCGGTTTGCTTATGTGACTGTTATATCTGCATACTCAAGCTATTGTAGTTTGTCCCGGAAAGTTTGGTTTAGGTTTAGCAAGTGAGTTCCAATCGTTGAACGTGTGACGTTGTAATATAGAGAATTAAAATTAGCTGAATTTTGAGTACCACATTCCCAATGTACTTTTGTGTTGAGAATAAAAATTTAAGTCATTGGTTCATTAATTTTGTGACCCTGTCACTGTAATCTTATCCCACTGTTTCCTTTCTCTGTAGATATCCTTTGACAAATTATACATTTGGAACCAAAGAAGCATTATATGAAAAAGATAGGTGAGTTATATACTAAACAGACTGATCATTTTGTGAAACGAGCAGACAATGTGAATTTAAAATATTAATCATGCGTCAAGGAACAATTCGTTTAGATTTGTGAATCAGGCGTGCCAAATTGCCCTTCATGCATTAGATCGCACCTGCACGTGTGAGACTCATGCATAATGCGGGAGAGTTAGCAGGTGATAATGCATCAGTCAATTTGAGGTGCACCCATCCCCCCAAATCCCCCTGGGGCTACTGTGGGGCATTTACCCCCTTGTCAGTCTGGCATGTGGGTCATAAGCAAATTTTGCATGGCCTGGGGGTCAGGCATTTGCCAACCTTCTTCAGAACAGATAGCTTTACAGCGGCACTGTTAATAATTAATATGGAGTTTAAGCAAATCGCTACGGCGACCTCTACTATGGCGGTCGTGGATGCGGTGTCCTGGGGAGAGTACGTCTCGTAGCTCGCCAAATTTCAAGCTAGGTTCTTGCTCACTTGCTTTCGCTATAATTTTTCAACAACAGAATTCAATGGTGGTCAAGTAAGAAAATGGCCAATTTAAAAATTTTGTTTGCCAAGAAGAATATTGATAGTGAATATCATCAGAGGGCGATTCGTGCACGAAACAGAAAACTGCAGATGAAGATGGCAGTAAGCTGCTGGTGATGTTTCTTCTTGTGTACCGCATTTAACACTGAACAAATCAACAAATTCAGCGTTTTAGATATTCTATTCTTGTTTAAACAACCTTCAGTGACATTTAGCTTTATTGCTAACAGTTGTGCGTACGGTTTTTGTCTAGCCTTTGTTTGTACTGACGGATTTTCTGCGGCCATGGCGCTGCGGAGCTCATGGTACACTCGCTTTAGGATCGAAATCTCAAACTGAGAAAACACAAGGAAAATGTATTCACTGGAAAACCAGAAGCCTCGAGTGCTTTCTTGATAAAGTGAAAAACAATCTATGATAGCTCTTAAAACCAGTGATCCTAAAAAATAGGAGAAGAGTCGACTTTTATACTCGCGTAGTAGCGACTACGCCAGAAGACAGCTCTTCACGTCATAGGATTTGGTGCTACGGCAAAAGGTCATTTCCAAGCATGTGTACTGCGTCATTTCGGGGCTTTTTTACTTCCGGCTGCCATAGTAGAGGTCGCCGTAGCGATTTGCTTAAACTCCCTAAAAAAAATTTTTTTCATTTCACTTTTTTAACCTACAAACAAATTAAAACAAAATAAATAACAATAAGAAGATTAGAATCATGAATGGTGTTGTCGCAGCTTAATAATAATATACCCCCCTGCCCCCTGCCCAGGTATACTGCAGGGCATTTCCCTGCCATGTAATTTGAAATTTAATATCTTTGTCTGGCTTTTTTTGTTACTTTCCAGTTCAGTTCAGGCAAGATTTACCAGAATGAGGTATGAAAACGTCAAACAATAGATCACCCTTCAATGAGTGTAAATGATTTCTGGGCAAACAAATCACAGTTTTTCACCTTATTTTGCATTCTTTTTAGAGAGGAATATGATAAGTTTGGAATGAGAAAGACTGTTGAAGGAGTACTGATTGTTCATGAACATGGATTGCCACATGTGCTACTTCTGCAACTCGGGACAACATTTTTTAAGTTGTGAGTCTACTTAATTTGTCAGTTTACATGCACTTTAAGTAATGATCCAGGCAAGAAGGAAGCAATTTCTTCTGTTGTGGCGCAATACGCTTTCCTCACTTAGAAATGTTTTCATTTTTATTTAGAGAATGCTTAAACCTACAAAAAGGCAGTTTACGAAAGAAAATGTATTTAAACTCCACTTTTAAGGTGGCTCGACTGGATTTTTTGGGGTTGATACCTCCCAACTTTGAGCATTAACTACGTCGGCATGAGTAAAGATATGGAAAAAATGTTACCATTACTGTATTATATAAAGATGAAAATTTCTTATGATCTGGGTTTTATTGCAATCGGAGTCGCCATGGCAACGTAATGACGCCATTACGTTTTTCATTTATCTTTGTGTTTCTCTGTTCCAGGAGTTTTTTGAAGAAATCGCTTTAGGGAGTATGTACCTGCTATAATTGCCCCTATTATGGCATAGTTTGAACAAATTCTATGAGAGCGTTTTCGAAATATTTTGAAATGTAGTTTTAAGAATAATAAAAACAGTGAAATAGCATGCTACCTACACAATTCGCTAATATTTTAAGAAAATGATAAGCTTTGGGAACGAGGCTTCATCTCATAGCGGTTTGATTCCATTGAAAACTGCATACAAAAAAAGAGGGGAATTGCTCTGGGCGATCGCGAGTAAGAAGAATTTTATTAACTTGCATTTAGCCGCTTTTGATACAGTTTTTGGACGTAATTTGGTCCATGCCTAATCATTTCGCATTTTTCCAAAAACCGCTCGATAAATTTTTTTATAAATTCGACAATCCCGAGATCAATTGTCAAGGAATATTCCCTGCAAGTTTTAAGAACATTGAAAACAGGGAAGGCTTTTAAATAGGGCCTCAAATATAGCCAATTTTCCCCCCAGATTTTGTGTTTACAAGTGAGCGTCCTCATTATTCACTGGCATTGTTTTCAAGTTTCATATACACGTGCACATTTAGCAAAAAGATAGAATTTGCATCAAAAAGGACCCTCGGTTAAATCTCCGGGATATGCTAATTACCGGGTAAAGAGATTAATGATATATTATAACATCAGAGCAACTCTTTGTGAGAGTTTCTGTGATGTTATAACCCGAGTAAGATAATTAAGTATTCCATCCTACACGATGAGCCGTGACGTTCACCGTTTCGGCTCTCACTGCTGTCTGTGACGACAAGCCAATTATTAGCATACTCCAGATATTTCTTCGGAAAGTAATCGAGAGTTCTTTTTGATGCAAATTTATAACTTTTGCTAGTTGTGCACGTGCATATGAAACTTGAAAACAATGCCAGTGAATAATGAGGGCGCTCACTTGTAAACACAAGATCTGGGGGGAATATTGGTTATATTTGAGGCCCTATTTAAAAGCCTTCCCTATTTTCAATGTTCTTGAAACTTGCAGGGAATATTTCTTGACAATTGATCTCGGGATTGTCGAATTTATAAAAAAATTTATCGAGCGGTTTTTGGAAAAATGCGAAATTTTTAGGCATGGACCAAATTACGTCCAAAAACTGTATCAAAAGCAGCTGAATGCAAGTTAATAAAATTCTTCTTACTCGCGATCGCCCAGAGCAATTCCCCTCTTTTTTCGTATGCAGTTTTCAATGGAATCAAACCACTACGAGATGAAGCCTCGTTTCCAAAGCTTATCATTTTCTTAAAATATTAGCGAATTGTGTAGGTAGCATGCTATTTCACTGTTTTTATTATTCTTAAAACTACATTTCAAAATATTTCGAAAACGCTCTCATAGAATTTGTTCAAACTACGCCATAATGGAGGCAATTATAGCAGGTACATACTCCCTAAAGCGATTTCTTCAAAAAACTCCTGGAACAGAGAAACACAAAGATAAATGAAAAACGTAATGGCGTCATTACGTTGCCATGGCGACTCCGATTGCAATAAAACCCAGATCATAAGAAATTTTCATCTTTATATAATACAGTTGTGGTAACATTTTTTCCATATCTTTACTCATGCCGATGTAGTTAATGCTCAAAGTTGGGAGGTGTCAACCCCAAAAAATCCAGTCAAGCCACCTTAAAGGGTGTATTTTTGTGTTAAAATATTTCAAATAATCACAAGAGTTGCAAACAATAGCCAGGAAATGTTTGCAATTTTACATGATCCGCACATACGATTTCTGTGTTACTTAGACTCAGACAAGATTTTGTTATAAGGAAGTTGGATAGAAAAAAGGGATTAATATACATGCTGCTTTCCAAAGATTTCATAAAATTTGATGTTTAAACCAATTAGAACCATAGTAGAGACAATAGTAAAGTTACATGTAGCACCTTTTTGCATTCTGATGTGTTCACTGAGTTTTGGTGCTTTCCTTCTTATCTGGACCATTACTTAAGATGTATTTATTGGGCTGCCTATGGCAAAGCCCAGTCTACATGTAGTTTTTTATGATTTAAATAATCTGATAACCTGCTTTATTAACTTAATGTAAATGCAACAAGCTAACGTCTAGAGCAGTGTGGAGATCTTTGTTCTGGGTCCACAGTGGACTCAAATCTCCCTTCAACCTGAATGGCTAATCAATGATGGCTTTTTTGACAGGCCAACCATGGCTTGTACTCAAATCCCTGTACACAGCTGAGGGTCCACAACAAGGAGTTTGGCGCTGGCTTGAAGGCAGACTTAACCAAAGGTTTACACTGTAGTTTTGTCTGATGCAGGCTAATAATAAGGAAGGCCTGAAGGCATAACTATCTTACCCCAAGTCCTATGTTTATTTTCTTTTCTGGCCAGAATTGCTTAAATATTTGCATGCAACCTTTGATTCAAAAGAAAAACAAAATAATTGGACAGAATTTGTTAAAAAATATTATTTCTATTATGACCCTAGGCCCGGTGGTGAGCTAGTGGCTGGGGAAGATGAGATTGATGGACTGAAGAGATCTATGACTGAGGTAAGTTACTTGCCATTAGTAATGTCATTGCAGCATTGTTTTGTTTTTCTGTTTTGTTTTAATTTGCCATTAGCACATCTCCCATAACACATCTTGTTTACCTCCCAAATTTTTGCAGAAGCATTGTCTTCACTTTCTCTTGGGACAACTGTAATATCAAATTGAGTAATTAAAAACAAAGGTTGTTCAAAATTGTGGGGAGGCAAACAAGGCATGATATGAGATGAGCAAATGGCAAATTACAATAATTATTTTATTGCAAAAGCTTAAGAGGAACACACTGAACAGCTAAAAAATTATTTTTTGAACTGGCTTGTTTAAGTTAGTTGATATCCCTCTATAACAAACAGCTACTGATTAAAGGCTTTTGCACGCTTCGTAGAGTTCAAGTCCAGATAAGGCTTGATTACTGGCTGCTGTTTGGGACACTCATCCCCCTAAAAGAGCTTGAGAAGAAACAAAGACCAGACCCCAGTGAGGGTTCTATATGAAATAAGATCTTTTGGGCTGTCAGATTTTGCCAACAGTTCTACACCTTAATGTTCTACAGTTGAACCTCCATATGTGACCACCTCTCATAAGCGACCACCTATCTAAAACACCAATCTTTTGCGATTCAAAGCCTTACAGTTAGAACCTCTTGTAAACGACCAACTCCTGTTTGCAACCATGGCCATGTTTTGGGGCTGATGATTTTATAATCAAATTTCCAATGTTTGCAACCTCTTGTAAGCAACCACTTGACGCGTGGTCTGATCTCTATGTTGGCTGTATGTACTAGTATGCTACTTAGAGAATAAGAAGAGCTTTTACCTGTAGTAGCAACATGGAACTACACATATTGCAACTTGAAAATCACATGCAGTGAATTATCTCCCATAAAGTAGATGTGTCTAGAACTCTTCTCAGAAGAGACACCTTGTGGCCTGAGTCTTGTAAATGACCACCTCCCTTAACCCTTTAGGTCCCAAGGGTGACCAACATCAATTTTCTCCTAACAACATCAGCAGATCATCAAGAGTAAAGGTTATGAGAATTACTAAATTGATGACCAAAGGGAGAATGCTTTGATCTGAAACCAAATTCTCTCAACTTTTCTTAAAAGAAATGTATGGAGATCAGTCTGGAGAATCTGTATGTGGATCTTGGGGCTTAAAGAGTGAAGTGACCTCTAAGCATTTGGGGTGGCCACTTACGGGAGGTTCAACTGTACTTATTTCATGATCTGGAATTTTAAAATAATTATTGGCAGTCCATGAGAGAAAAGTAACATTTGTCCATTTGGTTTTGTTCAGATCTTAGGTCGTCCTGAGCAGGGGGTGGAAGTTGACTGGATCATAGAGGACTGTTTAGGGAGCTGGTGGAGACCAAACTTTGAAGCCCCTCAGGTAACATGTGTAAACTTAGCCCTTTCACTCCTGTTGAGGCTAATCCTCAACAAGAGAATAGTCTGTTCCAATCCTTTTGTAATTTATAAAACTACCAGCATGCTGTGCGCATGCCTCGGTGTTCATTGAGACCAAACCATGTGTTTAATTACCTGTAACGCTTTGGTGTGAGTTTCTCATCGTATGGTAAGTTTTTCAAAGCTTGTGCATTTCAATTTCCACTCCGACAGTGATTTAGTTTTTCTTTTGCATAACTTTTTACTGACAAGGTGAAGTTTTAGTAAGCCATGATGAGATTGTGACTTGTGTTGATCAAAAATGTGCTGACATGTGCAAGTCTTAGTCTTCATTAAAGTTGTCTTTTCAACAACCTTCGTTTGTGTGTGAAGCGCATTTGTCCCCTGGACAACTCCTATTGATGGCCAAATGTACAAATTCACTAAAACAAATACAAATTTCTGTTTGCAAGGTCTTAAGATTACAGTTGAACCTCAATTACTTGTAAGCAGCCTATCTCTATTAAGTGACCAGTAATCAAAGTCCTCAAATAATATTGTAAATAAACATTATTTGTAAAGTAAGCCTCTATGACTATTAAGTGGCCAGCTCTATCTAGTAGCCATGGCCACTTTTTAGCCATCCCAACAAGAGTTCTCTTATTGTTGTCTCCTTTGTCAAGGGGCCGTCAAGTGTTTGACACACTTAGTGTGTTGCTTAACAGGATTTAGTTCACAGATTTAAAAGTTAGTTAGAATTACGTACTAAATAGAAATTAATAGTACCAAATTAAAGTATTTTCTGAAGGGAATTTTTTTTATTTGATTTTCTTTGATTGGTAACACCATAGGATTTCATCCACGGACTCAAGAGTTAGAACTACAAACTAAATAACTATGAATGGTAAATATGAAAAATAAATATGAATAGGAAAAATAAATATGAATGGTAACACCATAGGATTTCATTCACAGACTCAAAAGTTAGAACTACATACTAAATAAATAGTACCATGTGAAAGTACTGCTGAAGAGGTTTCATTTGAGTGGTAACACCATAGCATTTCTTCCACAGATTCAAAAGTTAGAACTACAATCATACTAAATAAATAGCACCATGTGAAAGTACTGCTGACGAGGTTTCATTTGAATGGTAACACCATACGATTTCATCCACAGACTCAAAAGTTAGAACTACATACTAAATAAATAGTACCATGTGAAAGTACTGCTGAAGAGGTTTCATTTGAATGGTAACACCATAGGATTTCATCCGCAGACTCAAAAGTTAGAACTACATACTAAATAAATAGTACCATGTGAGAGTACTGCTAAGGAGGTTTCATTTGAATGGTAACACCATAGGATTTTGTCAAAACATTTAAAAGTTAGACTGACAAATTATCTCACCAAGGACATGAAATTGAACTTTACTACATTTAATTTTACTCATTCAATGTTTGTGTTTGTCTTTCTTCTGCTTTTCCCCAGTATCCTTACATTCCTGCTCATATTACAAAGCCCAAGGAACAGAGAAAACTTTTCTTAGTTCAGTTAGGAGAAAAAGGTATACATTTGAACATGTTTTGTCAATGTTTATACTTCTCAAATGATATTTTGACAATTCATTTTTTCTAGCTTCAGATTGTGAGAGTTGTGGTTTGATACCATTCTATGACATTTTCTTTCAGCAAATTTTGCTGTCCCACGTAACTACAAGCTCGTTGCAGCCCCTTTATTTGAATTGTATGATAATTCACCCGGTTATGGACCAATCATAGCCAGTCTGCCTCAGTTACTCAGTAGGTAAGTGTATTAAATCTGTGTTTTCACTGGGCTTTCGAGATTGCAACAGAATGCCCACAATAATCCTTGTTTAACTCTCATAATTTTGCATAACCATTGTTTCCAATTTCTCCAGGGTAGTAGCAGCTGTCTCCAGAGAAATTGAAGCCGATGCTAATGCATTTTTTTTTTTTTTGGGGGGGGGGGGGTGGATTAAAGTTTAGGTTGTGCGTATTAGGAAAATGTGGGGTTGATGCTTTTGCCTTTGCGGATAACCTTTTATGTGTGGTGTTGTCTTATCGTATAATGTTTGAGATAGGTTGGTGTGTTAGTTTGTTTTTTTTTTTATTTTTTTTTGTTATTAGTATTTCATAGTTTTTTTCCTCTATGTTTGTGTGTGTAATTGTCTTTTACTTCGTTTTTTTCCTGTGTTTTTGCGTTTGACAAGAATTTCACAAATTTTTTTTTTTTTTCCTTCATTATTTTTACATCCCCTTTTTTTCCATTTTTCCCGGTTTTTGTATGTTTTTTCCAAAAAAATTTAACGCGGTTTTTTTGGTTTTTTTTTTTTTTTTGGGGGGGGGGGGGGAGTCAATAAGGTGTATTATGCGCAATGTGGAAATGGTGAATTGCCCTGTTTACTGTTGACTTAAAGCTCAAATGTGTCGGTTCAAATTCATCCAACATTGCTGGATGCAACGTGTTATTGGTGTTGGTTGTTGTTTGATGATGTTGGTTCAATTGAGTTTAAACGTTTGGGTCCATTTAAATGGATCAAACATCATCCAACATTGTTAGACCATCTTATTGAATGCATTCAAATGGGTCCTGCCATTCTCCCCCCCCCCCCCCAAAAAAAAGATAATCATCATCATCATCATCATCATCTAGTATCATTGCTGTCCACTTGTTGGAAAAGTATGTAATGAAGCAAGTTTATATATGCGTTTCCTTTCTTTTCTAGGTTTAGCTTTATATATTTTTGAAAGAATTGTGCTAACATCAAAGGATATGACCTGAAGAAGATGGATAAGGGATAAACTCCCTGTCATTAGTTTCGATCTTTTTTTATGATTCTTTTATTGTATCATTCAGACTATATTTATTGATTGTACATGTAATTTGTTCTAGTAAGTGTGTTTTAGAAATAAAGTCTTGAAAAACTAAAAAGACTAAAACAGTTTGTCATAAAGGGATTCTTTTTAGCCCTAAGGGTCAAAATTTTGTCCGCGTTAATGTGATAATTCTGTCACTGCATTTATTTGAAGAGGACTGTTTTGTCAAATATCCGTTCAGGATAGTCTTACTTTTAGTCCAATTTCGCGGACATCAGATCGATGTAGATTTAATAAATAAATGTTTTCTTGTCACAGTAACAGAAAAAAAATATCTTGGTAGGATTGACGAGAAATAATTGGGGCAATGATCAAGGCACAAGGTGAACATTTCTCTGCCCATTTTGTGCAAATATATGATAACTATTTCTAGATATTTTTTGTCTCATTTTTCCCTTTCTTTTCCTTTTCTTTTCATTCCTATTTATTTCTCCAAGTTACGAAACGCCTGTTGCGCGCTATCAGTCCACATTTCGTCAAGATGCGCGACTACTGTTCTCAGTGAGTCTGGAATTCAACCTCGTCCCCAGGGGTTTTCCCTAAAAAAATGGGAGGCCTGGTATGGAATCTGGATCTTAAGGGTACATGAGTGGCTACTCTCCAACCGCAACCAATTACCTCGGAAGCGAAGTAAAGTATCTCGGCCCTGCTGTCCCCGTTTATGGTCTTAATTTCACGAAGGTGTTCCTGCCAGGACACTCCCCTAGACCCGGTGCTGTCACCGGGATCCTCCCTTAGATCCGACGCTTCCACCCGGGATCCTCCTCTACACCTGGTGCTCTCACTGGGATCCTCCCCTGGACTCAACGTTCCAACCAGGATCCTTTCCTAACGCTCCCACCGGGATCCTCCCCTAGTTCTAATGCCACTGGGGTCCTCCCCTAGACCCGACTCTTCACACCAAGATCCTCTCTCTTTACAAGGAACGCACACGATTTCCTACCCTGCCAGCAGAGATTTCTTTCCGACATGGTTTTTAGCATTTGCACAGTCATTCGATTCGCTGACATTCGCGTGGCAACTACGCGGGGTAAAGATTTCCTTGAACCTTGATGGCGTTAATTCCTTCGCTTAATCACAACTTAAGCTCTGTGAATGACAACGACGATGTAGGTTCCACTAGTCGCTTGTTTGGTTGTTTGTTTGTTTGTTTGTTTTTTTTATCTTGAAAGCCTTTTCCAAATGGACAAACTTAAATTCAGACCACGAGAAGAGATTATTAAAAAAAAAAAAGGCAAGCTACCTGAACCTAGAACTGACTTTTCGTAAGGTTGTTTAATTCTAGTGATCTGGTTCTCGTGGCTTCAGCCTTCGGCCAACTCCGCCGCGCGCGAGGGAACTCGAAATACCTGGTACATATTAATCCCTGCGTAAGTAGTCAACAACCTGTAATAAAACAATTGTGTAAAGAATTCAGTACCTGTAAAAGTACCCTTATTGAAAATACTCGCTTGGCTTGGCATTTTATTCCAAAGTGCAGATTATGTTTCTTTTATATTGTGTTAATTAGCCATCTTTGTTTTGTTTGCATCTGAAGAATTCTAAAGAACTTTTGCCTTGTGAGACATTCAGGGTGATTTATCATGAAGAGAAAAGAATAACTATTTTTTTTAACCATTTAAGTAACAAGGAGTTCGCTTCTTTGGATCTCTCAATTAGACTTACATTCACTTACGATGATGTTTGCGCGGACTGATTCGAGATTCAAATTTGACATCAAAACCCTGCTCGTTATTTTAATGAACCTTTGTCCACCAATCAGGGGTCAGAGTAAGAAACCACATATCGTCTTCATCTTGGCAGACGATTTAGGCTTCAATGACATCGGTTACCACAACTCCAAAATCAAAACAGAAGTGTTGGATGAATTGGCCCGTACGGGAGTGACACTGGAAAATTACTACGTTCAACCCATTTGCACTCCAACACGAGCTCAGCTTTTAACAGGAAGATACGACATTCACACTGGCCTACAACATGGCATCGTCTGGCCTTCGCAGGCGAACGGTCTCCCGCGCAACGAAACCACAATCGCTACGAAACTTAAAGAGAGCGGTTACAAGACACACATAGTTGGGAAGTGGCATCTTGGCTTCTATCGGAAAGAATTTCTTCCTACACGAAGAGGATTTGATTCTTTTTACGGGTTCCTAACAGGTGGACAAGATTACTACACTCACATCAACAGACTTGGCTTTCACAAGCCCGGATACACGCACCTTAACGGCTATGACTTTTGGCGAGATGAAGAGGTCGAAAAAAATGTCATCGGCGAATATACCACGTTTCTTTTTGCTGAAGAGGTAGAGAGAATCATCAAAAAACATGACCCGAAAGATCCACTATTTCTGTTCTTATCATTTCAAGCACCACACATGCCCCTGCAAGTGCCAGATAGGTTTTTGAAAAGGTATGCTGAGATAAAAGATCGCAAGCGTCGCTTATATGCTGCCATGGTTTCTTGCTTGGACGAGGCAGTTGGCAATGTCACGAGCGCGCTGAAAGGGCGCGGTTTATAGGAAAATACTGTGTTGATTTTCAGCAGTGATAACGGGGGACAAATCTTGGGTGGAGGGAATAACTGGCCCCTGCGTGGCTGGAAGACTTCGCTGTGGGAAGGTGGCATACGAACAGTGGGCTTTGTGAAGAGCAAGCTAATTAAAAACCCGCGGAGAATTCACCGGGGGCTTATACACGTGTCAGACTGGTTCCCAACGCTTGCTCATTTGGCGGAGGCATCAATTGAAGGTCTTGCACTAGATGGTGTTAATCAATGGACCAGTATTAGTGAAGGAACGCTTTCTTCAAGAAACGAAATCCTGCACAACATTGATTGTCACGATTCAACTTTGGGCGGTCCACACGGATGCCATTGTCGCCAGGCCGCGCTTAGAAGGGGCGATTGGAAATTACTGATCGGCTGCCCGGGAATCGGAGACTGGGTTCCTGCGGCAGAAATGAACAAACCGACCCAGTCCTCCACTGGTTGTCAGGGTCCAAACAGTGTTTTCCTTTTCAACGTCACTGACGACCCGGAAGAAAGAAAAGACGTTTCTGAACATCATCCAGATGTGGTGCGGGATTTATTAGAAAGGATTGAAGTGTATAACGCTACTGCTGTGCCCGCTCGCTTTCCAGATCCTGATCCCAACTCTATTCCAGCTAAGCATGGGGGGATCTGGGCACCATGGATGTATTGAACACAACTTCCATCACCAAATATATTAAAGATTTTACAAGTGACCATTCTTACTTAAAAATTTGGTACAAAGGACGAAATCTGAAAAGAATGTGGAAAGAACTGCTAAGCACAATAGGGCCATTTATACGAGGCAAAATGAGACGCGTCTTACATGAGACGTGTCCTAAATGAGACGAAAACTGTCCTAATAAACGGCACATTTTGTCTGAAATTAGACGCGTCTTATCTAAGACGTAAAGGGCTGTTCGTAGATAAGACGCGTCTTATTTCAGACGAATTGTACCGCGGTTTATACGGGACAGTTTGCGTCTTACGTAGGACGCGTCTGATGTAAGACGCAAACTGTTCGGTATAAGCGACACATTTCGCCTAACGGGGAAACGCCAGGTTGAAGTTGACATTTTCTCAAAGTTGGAGAAGAGCAATTGAGAAGTGTCTAAAACAATTTTTATAGATAAAAAAGTTAAGTAAAGGTAAAACTTGGTCACGTGATACAAATTGGCGTTAACCGTTTAGTGTTAACCCGATTCCAAATCTCTCTATAAACTCTAGTCGACTAATAGAGGCAAAAACAACTTTTTGTCTCGACTAAAAAATAGCCGATGGTATTTATTCACTTTCAAAACAAATTACAAGGAAATGATAAATTCACTTTCAAGTACATGACAGCCTGCCCAACCAGAGTTTAGCAACGGCTTTACAATGAGGAAAACGTTGCACAACTCTATTCACAAACATGAAAAATCACCATGAATTTAAAGATGGTCTGCTCAACAGATTTCTTTACAACAAACTCTTTTGCACAAATAAAATAGTATAGATCTACATCAGCTGTCTGAAAAAGCGTAATCTAACATGCCTTCACCCTTAAATGAAACGGGGAATTCAAATTTGTTGCTTTCGATTAGTGTATCCGCGTTCCGTGTACGATCTTCGCCGAGAAGACAGTTAAAAAAATTGTTTATACAACTCTTAAGAGTGCGGTGAAGGGCGATATACGATTTTCCGACTCTTGAGTACCGACCATCTATGACGTTTGTAGTAGTACGAGGCCGCCGCGAGCAAAGCCAACAGGGTCAGGGCCTGGAAACAAAACATTTCGAGTTCAGTATTTTTGTCTGAAGTATACAAGATCAAGAACGGTGTAAATTTATGCTTCAGCAGAGCTGTAAATTACTGACGTTCATTGAAGCTAAAGCAAAGTGTCATGTCATGTCCGCTGTTACAAAGATACGGGCATCCCCATTCCCAAAACCCCAGTGATATGGGCATCCCCTGTGATCCTCACCCTAATTCTAACCCAAAAGGAAGGGGACGCCTATACCACTAGGGTTTTAGGAATGGGGATGCCCATATCACTGTAACACCAAACTCCAGAAACTATATAACAAGGGGATGGTTACAAGCTTTCGGCGGACAATCGTCAGTTGTGATTGGTCGATGGTCAAGGCAACTGTTAACCAATCATAAACAACGCTTGTCTACCCAAACAAGCCCAGAAATCACTGCGCCGATAGCTCTTACCCATTCCCCTTACAGTTTCTTGGGTGGGGAAATTCCCCCACAAAATGTTTTGTTCATTCGACTCAACTATTGCCTTGTCGGACAAATCCCGTATCTGAGAGTAAAAATTAATTGTAGCTCCAGTACAGTGTACTTTACTGCCTTCACTGCTCCTGTTTGATTGTAGGTATTGTGCACGGCCTTTGCAAGAGCGCGGGCTTGACGCGGGCGCGAGTGGCACATATTTGACAGTTACGAATAATTTCAGTCACAGGAACTTCTATTATTGAAAGAACTCGAGTTTTTCCAATCGCCTGCTTGACTCCCAAACTGATTTTGGTTTTCCACATAAGTTCAATGAACGTGTGAAAAGAAATGAATCGAGAAAACGCCTACGCTAGTTAAAAAGTCTTTCCTCGAACCTTTTAAGATGACGTTACACGGGACGATTTGCGACGACGATTTCTAGCGCAAAGCAGCATTACAATGTTGTTGCGACATTGTTTCGAATGGTTGCAACATTGCTACGCTGTGTTGCGCTGAAAATTGTCGTTGCGAATCGTCTCGTGTAACATCACCTTTAGAATATCAAAAATTAGTAAACAACATTTACCTTCATCCCCATTCTCTTGCGATCATCATGGTCAGGTTCTATGAAAGAATACTGGTCAGGTTTAGGAAAGATAACATTTTTCCGAAAAATATCAGAGGTTAAGCGCGGAGCTAATTCACTGTGTGTTCAAGAAAATAGGGTGTATTGGACAACCCTCTTTTTTGCCCGCTTTTTTGTCCATTTTTTTTTGTCCGGCTCTTCTTTGGCTGTATTTCTGTCGGCTTTTTTGTGCGATTTCTTGTCCGAGTTTTTTCTCGATTTCTTGTCTGATTATTTGCCCAATTCTTTGTTTAATTTCTTGTCTGATTATTTCTGTCCAATTTCATGTCGGTTTTTTGTCCGGTTCTCCTGTTCTTTGTCTGGTTCTTTGTCTAGTTCTCCGGTTGGAAATTTTTCAAGTGGAAATACGAGTTCCACTTTCAATTTTTCAGAAGGATTCGCCAGATCCAGGCAATTCAGGGCAATATCTGTCCTGCCATCTTGAATTTTGAAAAGAGAGAGAGAGAAACGAATGTAAAATTGCACACGTTCTTCACCCGATGGCACTTTCCATCGAAGTTTCCGAAGTTTTTTGGTAAATGGCAAAAGCCCTTTACTTCCCTGAAGGGAGAAAAGAAAGGATCTCTTACCTGCAGCCCACTTCAGGAATGTGCAAACATCTTTGGCCAGCTGAGTGACTGTTGCAGGAGTTCCTGGAATATTCACAAACAACAGAACAGAAGGGAAGGTCAACATTTCTTACTTCCAGACAGTTTGCCAGCAGTCAGAGCGCATGGCCTTGTTTTCGTTCCGCTCGTTTTCTCTCGTAGCACGATCAATCTCATCGCATATTTCCATTTTCTATAAGTTATCTATTTGTCTGGAGTAAATTATATGATAACTGTGTATGATACCGATGATGATGATGATAATAACTATAAGAACGACGACAAGGATGATTATGATAGCGATGACGATAATGATTATAAAACCAACTTCTTTTTACACTAATCATAGCGATCTGTCAATTGAACGAAAAATTTCCAAAAAATTACTTTTTTCGTAGGTTAAAGGGGCTGTGTCACGGCAGTCCAGTTCATTTTGTTTAATTTTGCCAATTACTAGCCCTCAATCGCTATGGAACTTAAGGTAAGCAAAGAAATTACATGTAAATGACAAAATCAGGGATCCGAGACAAACAAATATGTCTCCTGAGCATTATTTTCGAAGTTGCAAGCAGCAGGGATCAACCTTGAAAAACTGTTAGGCTGAACAGTTTTCAAAAACCCTAATTTCAATCCGTTTCAATCTTCAGTTTTGCCCATCCGTGGCATCTGTTGTTTCTGTTAAGTTATTTTAACCTTCCTTTAAAGTTTTAAGTGGTTATTTTTTGTTTCTCTTAATTTAACGGACATTGTGTAATTTCCTAATTTGGCTGACTTTCGTGACACAGCTCCTTTAAATAACTAAATTTAAAGTCCTGCCCTGTAGCAAACAGGTCAAGATGCTCACTCATTTTTTTTAATGTCTAAGTCTTTTATTATTTGTGTTTCTCGAAAAATATCAAAATTTGACATAGTAGAGTTATGTTTGGGCTTTGTATGGTAAAAACAATTTTTGCTTACCATCCTCGTATTCAATGATCTCATTATATAGTGCTGGAGCCATTGCAATTGATTGTCCAGGGAAGTATGGGTTGAAGTACAAGTCATCTTTAACCTCAACACCAGCTGGGGGATCCATATAACCCGTCAGGATCGAAAAGACATAATCCTAAGACAAAAACAGAATAAGCAGATATTCTCTAACCTCTGTGCCCTGCGTCCCTGACGCATAAAAGTCCCCAAAGACGCAAAATAGAGAGTTTAAGCTTCACGTATACGACAAACGGCAAACGTCAGATTCAAGGTGAGAATTTCTCCAAAATAGAAAATGAGCAGATTAATACAGCTGAAGACAACTCTTATGGATAAAAAAATTCCTCAAACCTTCTAATTTAGGTGTAAAAACAGTTGCGGATTCAGACCTTCAGAAAAGGGCGGGCCCGGTCATCCAGACTCTGAGATAAGAAGGGGGTGGGGAGGGGCTGGTCTCAAACAAATGTTTTCGGCCCTTTGGGCCTCATTTTAGTCTAAAAATAAGGGCGGGGGGCCAGGCCCCCCTTCCCCTCCCCTGGATCTGCCACTGAGAAATAAGGAACAGTAAACGACAAGTAAAGAGAAGACTTGGTAACGTGGCACAAAATGGCGTTTGCCGTTTGCCGTTTGACGTAAACGTAATGATTAACTTCTCTAATAATTCATGGCATGCCTCCCGTAGGACGCAAAGATCAGAACATGCGTATTTGTAGAAAACTAAACTAGATTATGTCGATCTAGTTTTATACCCTCCACCACAATTCTTACAAGGGTAACAAGGGGTAACAAGGGGTAACAAGGGTAACAAGGAGTAACAAGGGTAACAAGGGGTAACAAGGGTAACAAGGGGTAACAAGAGGTAAAAAGGGATAACAAGGGTAACAAGGGGTAACAAGGGATAACAAGGGGTAACAAGGGTAACAAGGGGTAACAAGGGTAACAAGAGGTAACAAGGGGTAACAAGGGGTAGCAAGGGTAACAAGGGGTAACAAGAGGTAACAAGGGGTAAGAAGGGATAACAAGGGTAAGAAGGGGTAACAAGCGTAACAAGGGGTAACAAGGGGTAACAAGGGTAACAAGGGGTAACAAGGG